AGAGAAGGGTGGAGCACCTGGTAGCCCAGGCGTCCCTAACTTAGCACCTCTGGTATTTCCAGAGCCATGAGGGCATGTGCCCCCAAGAGAGTGTGTACTGTGAGAACAAGTGTGGTGCCCGCATGATGCGGCGACTGCTGGCCCAGCACGCCACCTCTGAGTGCCCCAAGCGCACCCAGCCTTGTGCCTACTGCACCAAGGAGTTTGTCTTTGACACTATCCAGGTGAGGCCCTTCATGAGCAGTGGGATATGGGGCAGGTGATAAGGAGTCAGGCTGTTGACCATTGTCTCTGGTCCCAGAGTCATCAGTACCAGTGCCCACGGCTGCCTGTGTCCTGCCCCAATCAATGTGGTGTGGGCAGTGTGGCTCGGGAAGACCTGCCGAGTCATCTGAAGGACAGCTGCAGCACTGCCTTGGTGCTGTGCCCATTCAAAGACTCCGGCTGCAAGCACAGGGTGAGCTGCCTTCTTATTCCTGTCAGCCCCTCTTTAGCTCTTGAAACCTTAGGCAGCTAGGTTTCCTGGTACAGCTGAACCTTGGTGGACCATGCTGTGGAGCCTTCCCCCTACCCCCTGCTGGCCAGTTCCAGCTTCTTCCTAGCCTCCCCTGCCTTCCTTATGTGGAGCTGGGTGCCTGTTACACTTAACTGATCCTCTCCTCTCCCCTGGATCTTCCTCTTTTGGTAACTCTTCTCCCTTCCCCCCATGGCCTGGGGCTTTGCCAACAGTGCCCTAAGCTGGCGATGGCACGGCATGTAGAGGAGAGTGTGAAACCACATCTGGCTATGATGTGCGCCCTGGTGAGCCGGCAGCGGCAGGAGCTGCAGGAGCTGCGCCGAGAGTTGGAGGAGCTGTCAGTAGGGAGTGATGGTGTGCTCATCTGGAAGATTGGCAGCTACGGGCGGCGGTTACAGGAGGCCAAGGCCAAGCCCAATCTTGAGTGCTTCAGCCCCGCCTTCTACACACATAAGTATGGTTACAAGCTGCAAGTGTCTGCGTTCCTAAATGGCAATGGTAGTGGCGAGGGCACACATCTCTCACTCTACATTCGTGTGCTGCCAGGCGCTTTTGACAATCTCCTTGAGTGGCCCTTTGCCCGCCGTGTCACCTTCTCCCTGCTGGATCAGAGCGACCCTGGGCTGGCTAAGCCACAGCATGTCACTGAAACCTTCCACCCTGATCCAAACTGGAAAAATTTCCAAAAACCAGGCACTTGGCGAGGCTCCGTGGATGAGAGTTCTCTGGGCTTTGGATACCCCAAGTTCATCTCCCACCAGGACATCCGAAAGCGAAACTACGTGCGGGATGATGCGGTCTTCATCCGTGCCTCTGTTGAACTGCCTCGGAAGATCCTCAGCTGAATGCAGAGCTGGGGGACTCAAGGGGAGTAGGGGATGGGATGTGACCTCAGTCAGGCACTGGCTGAATCTGGAGAGGGGGCCGGACCCCCTTTCGGCTACTTCTGCCTAGGTTTTGTTACCCCGTGCTCTCCCTACCACCACCCTCAGGTGCCTCCAATTGGTGCTTCAACCCTGGTCCCTAGTGGGGAGCAGGTCTTGGGGTTATCAAGGGCTGGAAACAAGTGATCCCAGGCCTCTCTCTCCTCCTGGGCAGGGCAGACATGCCTTGGTGCCGGCCACATTCTACCCCAAAGGGACTGAGGTGCCTGCCTGCTCAGGTGCTATGTCCCAAGAGCCATAGTGGGGAGTTGGGAATGGAGGGGTTGTTGAAGAAAGAAATCTGCCTTGAGATTAATTTCTCTTCCCTTTACCATGTCTGTGTCCCTTCCGGTTATTTATTTCTTTAGTGCTAGGAGGGCACATAAGGGAAGCTCTGATTTTTAATAAATTCTGAATTGTATTTATTAACCTGGTTTCAGCCTGACTCCTGGGTTGGTTAGGACTCTGGGCCTAACTGAAGTCAAAGGACCAGTGGGTGAAGAGTACCAACTATTGCTACTCTGACCCCGGAATCCAGCTGCCCTACTGGACTGCCCTCTGGTGGGCAGTAGGGTAACTGCAGCAGGCTTTGTGTGGAAGTTGCCAGCTGCTGCCTTCTAGTGGTTAGAAGGAATAGGTGCAGGGCCTGGAAGTCTCATCAGGCTGGAGTTTCTAGTCCTATCTTAAGTAAGATTAGTGCTCTGCCTTAGGCAGGTCTTTCTAGATCAATAACTACCATTCATGGAGTGCTTTCTTGTGGCAAATGCTGATAAACACGATGTGCAGTATTTCTTGTAACAAGCCAAGTGAAGGGCTGGCAGAGTGGCTCCAAGTGGTAGAGTGCCTGCCTAGCAAGCCTGAGGCCCTGAGTTCAAACTTCAGTACCACCAAAACAAGTCACGTGAAACAGCTTTCACCATCACAAAAAATAGACCTTAGTGAAGAGTAAATGAGACAATGCATATTCCTGACAGAATAAGTGCTTAATGAAGCTGGATGGCTGTGGATCATGCCTGTAATTCTGGCTACCTGGAAGGATCATGGTTTGAGGCCAGTCCAGGCACATAGTTCTCAAAATCCCATCTCCAAAATAGCCACAGCAAAGTGGACTGGAGGTGTGGCTCAAGTGGTAGAGTGCATGCTTTGTGTGAAGCTCTGAGTTCAAACCCCAGTCCCACCAAAAAAAAAAAAATGCTCAATGAATGCTAATCTAACTGAAGCCCAGTGACTAAACTCGGTAAAAGGGGGCCTTTCAAGACATACAAGGCACTTGGGTTTTCCTGCCCATATCTCATTTGCTTTTCGCACAGGCCTTACGTGTGCCTATGATTACCCACATTTCACCAGTGAACTAGGAACAGAGAAGTGAATTATCAGTGTTTGGGGCAAGGCCTGCGTTTTTCTTCTTGGTGCTATGTATCCAACCCAGGGCCTCGCACAATATGCAAGTGCTGTACTAAGCTACAGCTCTCCTTAACTCTGGCAATCCCTCTAATTTTGGTATTGGTTAGATTTTGGGCTTATTTTTGGCAAGTTACTTAGCCACAGGGGGCATCACTAACCTCACTGGTAAAAGAAATTCTGCTTACTTCCTAAGTTTTGTTGTAATAGTCACATGAATTAATCAACATAAAGTACCTTATTCTTACAAGAGGCCCAGTGTATGAGAGCAAGCTCAAGGGCTATTCTTTCCTGCCACAAAGAGGGCAAGGTGACAGGAAAGGACTGAACCCCAGGTGAAAAGCTGAAGTGGTTCCTCCACAAACTAGCTTTGTCCAGTGCTGTCTGAAAACTGGTAGGGAAAACCATTAGTTGTAGTGGAGAAAGTGCCATTGGCATGCAACAGGTGAAGCCACCCTTCTGGCATCTCTAGAAAACACTCAGCCTGGATCGAAGCTGGGCTTCCTCTGCTGCCAGGACATTGCCACAGCATGATCCCCGAGGGCACATTCACCCAGCATCCACAGCTCCTGACAGCTGTGTACTGTTTAGCTCTGTGACCCTGGGTGAGCTGCAGGTCTCATCTGAAGAGGGCTTTTTTAGGGTGGTATGAGTTGAGGCAAAACACTTCCACAAAAGGGCACCCACAAAAAGGGCATGCTGAGCACGGAAGGGTGCTTTAACTCCATCAGTTCCATTCAGGAAGTGGCCTGACTTGCTACCAAGGGTTTGATTTCACCATCCCTAAACCCCATGTTCCACAGAATCGTCTTTCCCTCCATCTTGGCTCAAACCCAAACCATGCAGAAAAGCCAAAGTAAATTAAACACTTTTTTTTCTCCTTGCAGATAAAAAGTGGGAAACTTCTCTAATATTCAAGAGAAAATTGAAATTACCAAGATGGTGTGGTGGCGGTGATGGTTTGTATTTTACATGTTGCAGTTTACAGCACCTATTACCTCCGCCTATCAGGGGCCCTCAGCGGTAGGAGGGAGTTTTCAATTTTTCAATTTTACTTCAGTTTACAAACCAGATCCCCATTTCCCTATAGCTGATGGCCCTTGGAGTGAAAGTGTGGCAGGATCCTTTGGGCCATGGAAGCAAACCATGCTTTCCCATGAAGTTCCACACTAAGCTCCTGTCTGCCCAGCCTGGGCAGAGCCCACCAGCTGGGTCCCACGCAGGGGTTGACTAAATTGTCCACGAGTGCATGCCCTACAATCAGTTGCCACAGCATCTGGTCTGGGATGATGAGGATGTGACTTCTGAGCGGGATGAATACTATAGGACCATCACCATGACCACAAAAATGAGGAAATACTCCCTTTCTAGCAAGTGAAACGTTAGAAACTATTCTAGGGGGAAAAAAATCACCTCAAACATTCACATTACATGAATAGCACAAATCAAAAGGTTAAGTTTTTTTCTTTTTACTGGTTTATAATAATCTTAAAAACCCCCTTCACACCCATAAACCACCACAGGTGAGAGGGAGAATGAATGCTACAGTATGTGGATACAGTGGGGAATCCATGTATTCTCTAGGAGAGTGGCATGGGATGGAGACAGGAAGTGTGGACAGGGAGGTCCTGGCTTGGACCCTTATTGCTGGTTGGGGGCTGGCAGAGGGGCAGGGGGACTCAGGTTGAACTAGGAAACATCTCACACCAAAGGCAAGGGCAGTTAGTTGAGGGTAGGGGAATCACAGTACATTTTCCATGCAGACTAGGGGTGGGAGTAAGAACTTCAGAAACTTGCACCCCTACACAGGAAGAAACAGGTTTGAGGTTGTTTGAAAGTCCCCAGTCTGGTGTCTGGTCCGGTTTCCTACAGTGAGCTCCCCTTTCTGGGAGAGGTATTGGGGTGGGGGAATTACAGCAAGAATATCTGATTTTGAGATCAAACGAGGTAAGGGGAGATATGGGTAATCTTTAAATTTGACTCAGGAAAGTGGAAACTGGAAAGGCAGGCCCTGGGTGAAATGGTAGCCAACACCTTGGGAGAAGGCATTGCACCAGAAATTGCAGGGGCTCAGGGACAGGGAGTACCAGTGTTCACAGATGGCAGGAAAACAGCTGGGAGTAATAAATTAGGACTTCATGTTGCTATCATTTGGCATAACACATCAGGCATTTTTCTTTTTTTTTTTTTTTCTTTTTAAATATAAGGCAACTTGCCAACACATAATTTAAAAACTGGTCATCAGTCACATTGCTTCAGATCACTAGAGAATTTCTGGCTAAGGAACAGTGGATAGTAAACAGAACCCAAAATCTTTAAATAAAAGTATCAGCTCACATTCCCCAGAAACAAGAAGAAAGGTAAGGGCTTATTTGTTTGTTAAAAACAAACAAAAAGAGCCCACTATGCATCTTTAACAGAAGGCAGGTGCAAAAATTTACAACAAAATCGTCTAAAGTTACAGAAAAGCGCTGAATTTCTAGCCAACTAATTTGTCACTTGGGAATGAGACATGTTGGGCATGGAGTGGATGGGGGATGCTCTGAGAATGGACGAGGGGCAAGGGGCGGTTTCCAATGTGGGCCCCTCCAGCAGTCAGGACCATGCTCATTTGGTAGAGGAAGAATTCAAAGAGCTTAAGGCTTTGTGTTTTTTTTTTTTTTTTTCTTCTCCTTCATTAAACTGAGGGGCTGCAAAAGTAGGTGACTACGAGGTGAATGTACCTGTGGGGCCACTCATACACAATGCTACTCAAACCCACACTACATTCATACAGAAACAATGACATTTAACTTACAGTGTAGAGCAATAGTCTTAGCCAGTGTAGAGAGAACAGAATGCATTTTAACTTTTTTTTTTCTTTTTTTTTGGTGTTCTAAATTCCAAACTCCAATGTGATCATCCCTTGCCTACCTAATTCCTCAAGTAAGGTAGTTTTATTTTTATTTTTTTTTAAGGGAGAGTGGAGGTAGGGATGAGGACAGCAGTTAAGATAGAAGGGGATCTTGGGTATGTCAGATAGCCACTGCATTTCTCTAGGTCTGAAAGGGGGTGTCAGGAACCAAGATGCCAATACAAGAACAGAATTTTCTCCATGTCTCAAGGCTATAGCCAAATACCTGCAGGATGCCCCTGAGGTTGAGTGTGACAAGTACAGTGACTAAGGGATCAATGTAAATGCAAAACAAAGCCTCTGTAATGTACAGGAACTGAGAGGAAATGAAGATTGGGTGGGTTCTGATTTGACATCTTTGGATGAATAAGGAATTAGCTTCTAGAGCACATGCAAAGTCTGGCTTCTTAGTCCCAAATAGGGAGATAGGAAGAGGCTTAGTTTAGGGGACTGGGCTCTTCCCCTCAGTCACACCTCAGTCCTAAGAGAAATAGGTGGAGGTTCAGGAAAAGATGAGACAGGGCTGGTTGAAATGGCCAATGTGGAAAAGCTGATAGGCAGGTAGGCGAGAGAAAAGTCTGTGTTTAGAATTAGGCTCTACCATAAAACCAAAAGTTGCTGGAGGGGAAGATAAAAGAACCCCTTCTGCCCCCAATTAGACCCTGCCAAGTTCCCTTTCTTAAGACATCTAAGAATGATCACATTGGAGTAGTGAAACTTTGAAACTATCCAGTTACTTAAAAGTAAGACTAAACCTTGGAGGGCAATGTATGACATGTTGCTTGAGGAGGGCACCATGGTTCCCTATCTATACCCCGGGTGCTGAATATGAAGACTTCGACTATCTGTGGGATCAGGGGCTCGAGTGCCAGGGGCTCGGTGGGCCTTGCCCAGCAGAGCCAGGCTCTGTTCTCTGAAGCAGGCCTGTTGGAAATCCCCACTCAGGTAATCCACCGTTTGCATCAAGCTGTTCTGGCTTGCCACGGGACCACCCCCAGTCCCTGCTCGGTAGTGGGCCCCAGAAGCTGCCGTGCAGTCGAGGGGTGCCCCTGTGGGCTGCCCACCGTGGAATGGCATGGTGAGGTCCTGAGACCCTGAGCTGTCGCTATTGGGAGTGGGCAAAATGTTGTTCCACAGGGGTTGGAAGTAGTGACCATTGGGATAGGCCAGTGGGGCTGCCAGGCCGTTGACTGGTGGGGATGGGGTCGGCTTCTCCAGGGTTTGTTTCAGATGGAAGGACTGTGCCAGGCAGAGTTCCTGTGGGTAGGCAGGGGCCTTGCCCACAAAACCAGGCCCTGTCAACTCACGTCCTGCTGCATGCTTGCCTGTGATGCCAGGGGCTGGAGTCCCACCAGCCTCGCTGCACATCTGTTGTAGGTGGGCCAGCTGGTGCTGGTTCCAGGCGACTGGTTTGAGGTCGCTAGGGTAGCCAGCAGGGGCTCGAGAGATGCCTGTAGGCAGGTTGACAGGACCTGCAGCAGGCAATGCGGCTGTGGCCGCATGGGTGTGCTCCATAGGATTGACCACACATGAAGGCATTGGTGTGGGGACACTGTGGGTCGACACCCGGGTGCTTGCATTGATGAGCAGACTGCGACTAATGGGGCTGGGGTTGGCGATCTGGCCCTCACACACTGAGGTAGTGCTGATGCCTGCCCTCGTCTGGCAAAACTGGTTGATCTGGTGCACGATGCTGCTCAGGTCCGGGGGCTGGCTGTGCTGCAGGGTGGCCGCCATTGAAAGGGGGATAGTTGAGGTAGACACAGTCACATTCGGGGGGGCATCTGAGTCTGGCAACTTCCGGCCCCCATGCAGCAAGGGATTGGGAGGGTGCTGGAGACCCTGGTGAGCTAGGGTCTGAGGGTGAACCAAGCCCTGGGTTTGGGCCATGGGCTGAGGGTGGCCCAGGCCCTGAGGCTGCTGGAGGCTCTGAGGGTGAGACAGTGCCTGTGGTGGCGGAATACCCTGAGGGTGCTGCAGCGTCTGGGGAGGAACATGGGCCAGGGTCTGTGCATGCTGCAGGGCCTGCTGACGGGCAAGAGCCTGGGCCTGGGGGTGAGCTAAAGTGCTGGGTGCCACAGTAGCATAGGGTGCCACTGGGGGATTCATGATGGCCTCAGGAAGAAACCGGGCTCGGGTGCCGTCAAAGTCCTTGAGTATGCTTTTGGCTGGCACTTTGACAATGGCAAGCAGGCCAGCCTTGGTGGCAGCCTGAGTCGGGTAGGGGCTGTAGCGCTGGGCTGATGTGTCGAGGCCGTTCACAGTACGACGAACGTGTTTCCGCTGGGGAACCTTCACACTGTTGGGGAAGATTTTTATAGTCAGTGGGTTGTTTGCGACCTTCTTAGCATACGCGTCCAATTCTGCTGGGGTAGGATAGTGAGCAGTTCTCATTTTCTGTGTAGTGTCCCCTAGAGAGAGAAAGAGAGAGGGGAAGGAAAGCAGAAAGGGAAGGAGCTCATCAATGCCAAGCCAACCAGGCCTTCTACAGTCCCCTACTGAGGGCCTGGTAGGGTGGGAGATTAGGTGGTCATCTGTATGCAGCCTTCCTTCTAGATCCAATCCAGCCTCAGCTCCCACAATCCAAGCATTGCTGGCATTTACTAGGTATCTGCAGTGGGCCAGGCCTGGTGCTAAGGGACAAGCTACCTCAACGATCCTCACTTTTGCTGTAGGAGGCAAATACTATCATAATTCCCATTTTATAAATGAGGTAACTAAAGATCAGAATGGCAAAGCAACTTCTCAAGTCTTGTATCTTAGAGAGCCAGGACTTGGCCTTGCTCAGAGGTAACCAAGAGTTCTTTTGTTACATGGAAATCTAAGTTCTTACTAGCCTAAGCTGGCACGGGGGTTGAAGGTTCTATGCAGAGATGCATGTTAGGGCCCTCAGTGGCCACTCAGTTCCTTTCTACAACACTCTAGTAAAGAGCAGTTCTGAGTGACTACTCTTCAGTCTGCAGTGGTGAGATATCAGCTTTCCCTTGTGTCTTGGCAGCTGGGGTGCCATACTCATGGGTAGACATACCCATCCACCACAGTGCACAGGACACTTCTTTTTTAGGAGAGGAGGAAGAAGCTGCCAACATCTCACTCCCACCCCCACTTCACTTTTGTTTATAGTTTACTTGATGCCTGACTGGGTGAAGATCAAAAAGCTTTATTTATTTGCCAGTGTGGAGGGAGGGTGATAATATATAAATGGCAGGGCAGCAGGGAAGGAATTGAGAAGAAAGCACTCAGAGCATCTTTAAGTCTTGGGAGCCAAAAATAGTCTTTATTTGGTCCATGTCAGCTGTCACTTTCAAAAAAGAAAGAGGAAAACCTGCATTCCTTTGGAGACTGCGGAAATACCCACTCAGTGTGCCTCATTAATGTTAACAGTGTCTTTGTTCCCATCTCCGGGTGCCTCCCATCAGGGGGCTCCAGCGGATGTTGGGCTTCCAGTCAAAAAGGAAAAGGTTCCTAAACAAGAGCTCTTTAAGTAGGCTGGGCTCCTGCAAGAGGTCTTTGCTCTGTTCTCACTCTCTCAGAGGAGGGTTCTACCCTGAGTATACACAAAAGGTGCTTAATAAATACTTGCTGAATGAGTAAATATACAGACTACCCAAAGCAGAAGTGGTCTGGCTGGGAGCCTGGGCTAAGCTAGCTGACTCCCTCCCCACTTCCTGCCCTGGCAGAAGGCAGTCAGGACAGACCAAGGACTAATCTGCTGAATGCCCAGCTGGTGGCCTCAGCTGGCCTTGGCCCAAAGGAGACCCCATTCAAAGTCACATTACTGGGCATCAATTGGAACAGAAGCAGACTAGTGAGTATGTTAGAAGGAACAGGGCACAGCTGCCTGGTGACATTGCTGGTTAAATGGCAGCAACTGCTTAGAAACTGCTGCTTTCTGAAGCAGGAAAAGAAAAGCTCAAGTCAGGAGGAGCAGAGAGATTTGGTCCCATGCTCTAAAAAGGCAGACCTGAGCAAAAAGAGAAAAGAAAAAGTCTGTGCTTTCAAATACTGGCACAATGCCTTGTTTCATTTGTTTGTTACAGAATAGATGTTCATTCGTAAATGAAATGTTTGTGAAACACCTGATTTAGGGAAGGTCTTAAAAAGATAAATGTGACAGTAAGAACTGAGGGCAGGAAAAAGGGAAAGGCAGGGAGGCCCAGAAACCTCCCATTCAATAGATAACATTATTTGATTAGAGTCAAAGCCTAAGTGCAGAGTTTGAATTCCACCATTTCTTTCCTTCTTTTTTTTTGTTCATAAAAGGGCCTCACAATTGCTAGGCAGGTGCTCTATCACTTGAGTCATGAGTTTTGCATTTCTTATAAGCTACTGACTCTCAATGGGCTTCAACTTTCACAAAGTGGGGCTATTTTCTGACTCTCCTTACACTCTCCTGGGTAAGAAGATTAAAACAAGCAAACAGTTCTGAGATCACTGGAAGCTAATCATTACTCTTAAGGCATCAGAATTCCAACAGAATCTGCCCTGGTCAGATACTGTACTTAGTTGTCTACTCAGAATCATGTACCAATCCTAGCACAATGCATTACCCAGAGCAGATGTGTAACAGACACTTGGTAAGTGCTATTAATATAGTACTGCTTGACTGAACAACTGGGGCTCAAACTGAGCAACAGGAGTCAGAAGTTGCAGGGTTTTAGTTCAAGCAGGAAATGTAGATCTGCCTCTGGGTTCTCCTCTAACTCGCCTCCATGTTGGTAGTCTGCTTGAAATCCATGTAGGAGACTGTGCTACAGTAAGTAGCTTGTTGAATAAGAGCAGCTTGGTATCATTTGGGAGTATGGACTGGGACAATTCGCCACATTGATTAATTCTTTTTGTCCTATCTCCACTGATGATGACAGGTGAAAAAGGCAGTCATATAAAGCAATCAGAATTAAAGAAAAATGAGGATGGGTAGGGTAGACACAAGGCTACAGAATTGTTGTTAAGGAAAAGCCCCAAGAATGAGATAAGTATATTAAACAAGAAAAAGCTCACATTCTGGGAATACAGTACCACCTACCTCACATACTACACTTAAGCTCAACCCTTAGAAAACAAAAAAACAAACCACATCTTTAAACTTTTTTTTTTTTTTGGAGACAGTGTCTTGCTACGTTGCCCAAGCTTCTGTGACTCCTGGTATCCGGTGATTCTCCTGCCCCTCTCTCTCAAGTAGATACCAACATACCTAGCTTCTAACACTTTCTTCTTTTTTGAAGTTGTGGTAGTGGTGATGGTGGGCTGAGACTAGGGTTTTGCTACATAGAACAGGCTGCCATTGAACTTGAAATCCTCCTGCCTCAGTCTCCCAAGTGCTGAGATTACAGGTATACACCACCATACCCAGCTTTTCCTTAACATTTTCTTATCAGAGATCCAGATACCCTCCTTCTCTCTTCTTCTCTCCCTCACTCCCTCTCTCCTTCCTACTTTCTTTTCTTTCATTTCTTCCCTCCTTCTTCCCTTCCCTTCTCCTTTTTCTTTACTCTCTTTTTTTTGTTGTTGTTGTACTAAGGATTGAACCCAGTAGTGGGCAAGTGCTCTACCACTTGAACTATGTCACCAAGTCCTGCTTTTAGTTTGTTTTTCAAATAGGGTCTTGTGCTTTTGCCCAGGCTGGCCTCAGACCTAGATTCTCCCATTCTTCCTTCTAAGTAGCTGGGATTACAGAAGTGCACCACCTTACCCTGTCCAACCTTTATTTCGTCTGTAGCATATTCCCTTAACTGCATAGACAACAGATACCAGTTTGGTAAAAAACTTACCTAACAGAGATATAAGGAAGTATAGAGATTAGAGAATCCATGATTAGGAAAAATTAGATCTAGAGTAAAGTCTTGGCTTTATCATCTGCAACTGAGAGTCTTAGTTATTCTTTATTCATCAACAGAAACAGTATCTGTTTTCCTGCTTCACAGAATTACTAGATCAAGAGACTCAATGAAGGAAATGTTGTATGAACGTGAACCATGACTGCTGACGTGCTCAAAGATAGCAGGTCTGTCTGAGTCTGAGTCTGCCCAAGACAAGACAAAGCAAACTGATCAAGGAATACAGAATTACTGAGGAATAAAACAAGACATATGGCCGGTTACAGTGGTACTCACCTGTAGTCCCAGCTACTTGGGAAGCTGAGGCAGGAAGATCACGTGAGCCCAGGACTTTGAGACCAGCCTGGTCAACATAGTGAGACCAAGTCTCAAAAAACACTCAATAGCCGGGTGCCAGTGGCTCATGCCTGTAATCTTAGCTACTGAGGAGGCAGCGATCAGGAGAATTGTGGTTTGAACCAGCCCGGGCAAATAGCTCTCGAGACCTTACCTCAAAAAAAAAGCATCACAAAAAAGGGCTGGTGCAGTGAGTGGCTCAAGGAGTAGGCCCTGAGTTCAAATCCCAGTACCACCAAAAAAAAAAAAAAACCCAAAACCAAAAAACAAAAAACTATTGACACATGGTAAGCACTGTTAGCTATTACTATGAGAGTGGATCTGGTCACTGAGTCAATATGCCATTTCCGTGCCCCTCCGCTAGGGGGCGGGCAGACATCTAAAGAGAAGTAAAAAGTAATTTTAGCATTGATCCCAGGACCCTCTCAAGGCTCTCCCATGAAGGAGGTCAAAGTTATCATCTAAAAGAAGATGTGAGCCAGGCACTGGTAGCTCATGCCTGTAATCCTAGCTGCTCAGGTGGCAAAGAGCAGGAGGACAGTTCAAAGACAGCCAGTACAAGTAGTACAGTGAGACCCTATCTCAAAAATACCCTTCACAAAAAGGGGCTGGAAGAGACGCTCAAGTGGTAAAGCATGTGCCTAGAAAGCATGAGGTCCTGAGTTCAAACCCCAATACCACACACAAAAAAAAATATGGTGTAAGGATTTAAGGATTTACTATTTCAACTATTTGCACAGTGAATGTCTTATAAGCCATTACTATACTATATACCTGATGTTAAGCTGGGAAATGAGTAGAGTAGACGCAACAAAGACCAGTCACTTTTGTGGACCACAAAGGTAAAAATAGCTTCTTATCTGGCATTTACAGAGAAAGTTTGCGAACACCTGTCATGAAGGATTCAAGTAAGTATAATGCTTCATTGATTTCCCCTATTTGCTCTGAAAGGAAAGTCCATTCCAAATTCAGGGTTGTTTTTACACCTGAAGATACCATATATGTATCTTCAAGAATAGACTATTTTCCTTGCATATTGTGTAATGCAGATATAGAAGGCAGGAATCTGAGAAAATATGAACCAATGCTCCAATTTCAGCCAGTTAAGAAGGATTCTAACAGACAGTTCTCAAAGGCTCAATTTCTGGGAAATAAACTGGCAGGCAAATGCCCAGAAAGCCTGAGAAAGCTAGCTCCCAACCCTTCTGAGGGCAAAAGCTCCTTTACTTGCTATGAACTGAAGTCACACTGGCTCAAAAGACAGACAGGAATGCCAAAGGGAGCTACCTATTTCCATGGTAGAATGTACATAGAACTCAAAGCAATATAACAGTGTAAACAGTTTTAGAGATTCAGTAAGTAATCTGGACTATGAGTTTTCATTCATTTCCTCATGGGGTTCAAACTGAAACACCTTTTTGAAGAGTGATCTAAATGTATGTGTGTGTACATATATATCCTATAAATCTCCTTGTAGCTTTGTTGCTCAACAGAAAGCTACCAGCAACAATTAAAGTTAAGCTCGTATACACTGGGAATTGTAGTACTTAAGAGGATTTCTCTGATTTCAAAAGTATCTCACATTGCTGACAGGTATGGCCTTTACACAGCTGCTTTCCTGCTGTCTCTGCTGACAAATACCTTGAAAATACCAAAACTCATGGTGAATGTACCCCAGATGTGCCTCTGGAATAGCCCACAGGTAGGGACACAATAAAGGATCACACATCCTTCCCTGGGTTATCCAGATTACTTACATTTCTGAAGTCCAGTGTTCATCTGCGTGTGAGAAAGAAGCTGAAAGGACAGGTCACCTGGCCCTGGTAAACAGGCTAGCATGGCAGACCAGCATCAACACAACATGAGGCAGTGGCTCACACTGTAATAAATGAAAAGACAAGGTCATGGAACACAAGTCAACTTATACAACAAAGAAGATACCAGGGACATTAGATATGAGCAGCAGAAGCTCAAGTTTAGATAGACAAGCAATTTAATTAACAGTGTGCTGGTTCAAAGCATATCTACATTTTACCCAGTGTAATGATACACATCTGTAATCCCAGAATTTGGGAGGTTGAGGCAGGAGGATTATGAGTTTGAGGCTATCATAGGCTACACAGCCTGGACTATGTACAGCAAGATCCTGTCTAAAAAAAAAGAAAAGAAAGTATACCTATTCATATCTTTATCTGTAGCAATCAACTATCACTATAGCTAAAATGATACTCCAGTCAGTACAGATGTGTGAGTGGGAGAAGTAAAAACTAGAAAGTACCTATTTATACAAATAATTGGAAAACACAGGTACATCTGTAAAGCTTCAGAATTCCTGAAGAGCACTAGGCTTTGTAGGGCCTGGGTCAGTTCATTAACAGTCCTGGTTGGAGGCCAGAGCACTTGCATGTTTCCAGAGGCAGTACAGTGTGACTTGCAAAGGCACTCAAAGTCTGACTTGTGACTCAATAATCTAAACTTACTTTTATTTATTTTTTTTTAGTTTGAACTAGGGACCTCATGTTTGCTAGGCAGGCACTCTATCACGAGCTACTTCTTCATCCCTTTATTTTTTTTTAATTTATTTTTATTTTTTTTATTCATATGTGCATACAATGTTTAGGTCATTTCTCCCCCCTTCCCCCACCCTCTCCCTTACTCCCGCCCCCTTCCTCTCCCTCTCCCCCCACTCCCTTGATACCAGGCAGAAGCTATTTTGCCCTTATCTCTAATTTTGTTGAAGAGAGAGTATAAGCAATAATAGGAAGGAACAAGGGGTTTTGCTAGTTGAGATAAGGATAGCTATACAGGGAGTTGACATGCATTGCTTTCCTGTGCGTGTGTGTTACCTTCTAGGTTAATTCTTCTTGATCTAACCTTTTCTCTAGTTCCTGGTCCCCTTCTCCTATTGGCCTCAGTTGCTTTAAAAGATCTGCTTTAGTTTCTCTGCGTTGAGGGCAACAAATGCTATCTAGTTTTTTAGGTGTCTTTCCTATCCTCATATCTCCCTTGTGTGCTCTCGTTTTTATCACGTGATTAAAGTCCAATCCCCTTGTTGTGCTTGCCCTTGATCTAATGTCCGCATATGAGGGACAATTTTTGGTTTTTTGGGCCAGGCTAATCTCACTCAGAATGTTCTCCAATTCCATCCACTTACCAGCGAATGATAACATTTTGCTCTTCTTCCATTCCTATGTTGGGTATTTCCGATAGGGTCTCTCAAACTATTTGTCAGGCTGGCCTAAAACTATGATCCTCCTGATTTCTGCCTCCCAAATAGCTACGATTACAGACATGAGCCACTGGCACCCAGCTTATTTATGTTTTTTTTGGACAGGGTCTCACTATATAGTCCAGGCTGGTCTTAACCTTATAGTCCTCCTCTCTTAGCCTTCTGAGTGCTAGGATTATAGGCATGCATTACCACACCTGGCTCACTGAACTCAGTTTTAAAAGAAAGAAGCTGCAAAGCATTCTAGGACGCATACTTAACCACTTTTTTTGGGAAGGGGTAGGGGGTGAGACTAGGGTGGGTTTGAACTCAGGGCCTCGAGATTGCGAGGTAGACACTATACTACTTGAGACACTCCACCAGCCCTTTTTTGTGCTGGGTGTTTTCAAATCAGGATCTTGAAAACTATTTGCCAGGGCTGGCCTTGAAGAGCGGTCCTCCTGATCTCTGCCTGTGGCTCACAGATATGAGCCGCTAGCTCCCAGGTCCATTTTTCTTCTTTTGAGACAGGGTCTCACTATGTAGCCCAGAATGATCTCCAACTACTGATCTTCTGCCTCAGCTTCTCAAGTGCTGGGAATTACAGGTATGTACCACTACACTTGGCCTACAGTTAATCACTTTTAAAAGCAAATTCTATTTGTAAATTTTGAGGGATTTGCCTTTTCTAATACCTTTCACATAGTTAAGACTTCCTGGACCCCAAAAGGGGTTGGGGAGAGGGAAAAAAAGGCACTCCTCCCAGAGTAAAGCAAGGAGGCAGGGGGCTGCTCACAGATGATCCTAGCAATTGATCCTAATATTATGGTCACGATGGCATGGATAGGAAAGAAAAGAATAATACAGAAGGTGAATTTGGTCAAAATACATTATATACATATATAGAAATATCACAACAAAACCCCTTTGTACAATTAATACCCACTAATAAATTTTAAAAAGGTAGCATAGATTTCGTCAGAGATATTTACCAACAAGACATATATTGCCCAAATAGACAGCAAGCTCCTGGGTACCAGGAATGAGTTTTCAAATAAATAGAATGTAGTAAAATGCATGAACATTTCTTCCAATATTGCAAAACCCACAAATCAAGGTGGCATTTTACAGCTTTAGATCACAACACAAGAGTGTGTCAGGGGAAGCTCAAATGTTAAGCAAAGACCACAAAACCTCTTTATTTCCTTTCAAGGAGTTCTTTCAGGTATGTGAAACTACCTCGTCATGATGAGTATCAGAGAGGCCAGCTTGCAAGACTGGGTAACTGAAAAGATATTGTGTAAAAGAGGCTGCTTAAACTGTGCTTAAGATAGCAACTGCAGCAAAAGAACTGGAAACTGAATACCTCAATGAAAAGAGCTGCCTTAGAGTTCTGGCACAGATTCAATCTTTTTAGGTTTCTGGTGGGTGGGACAACAGAATGAACACAGTGTGCCAACTGCACTGCTTTAAGAAAGTTTTCTATTGGAGCCAAACAATTGAGGTATTGCTTATAATTACTTACAATTCCCTTATGAATGCTTATCTCCTAATTAATAACCTCTCCTTTATGATCCTGATATAGCTGAGGTACAAGCTCCAAGGAAAGAAAAGGAACTAACAAATACAGTCATGGGTTGCATGAGTTTTGGTCAATGACAGACTACATGTTAAGTCAGTGGTCCCAAAAGATTATAATGGAACTAAAAAATGGCTTTTGTCTAGTATTTTTTTGTGCCTTTTTTTTTTCTCTTTTCTTTTTCTTCTCTCTCTCTTTTTAAGCAGTACTGGAGTTTGAAATCAGGGCCTCGTGCTTGCTAGGTAGGCACACTACTCCTTGAGCAGTGTCCCTGGCCTTTTTGTGGTTTTAGTTATTTTTTGGAATAAGGTCTCCTGTTTTTGCCTGGGGCCAACCTCAGCCTGAGACTGTAGGAAGGCACCACCACCACACCTGGTTTGTTGGCTTAGATGGGGGATCTCACTTTTTGCCCAGTTAGCCTCAAACCTTAATCCTCCTGATCTCTGCCTCTCCAGTAGCTGTGTGCCACCCATGCCTGGCCCTTTACTATATCTTTTCTATGTTTAGATACATAAATACTACCATTGTGTTACAACTGCCAGCAGTATTCAGTATATTAACATGCTGTACAGGCTTACAACCTAGAAGCAGTAGGCTATTGCTATATAGCCTAGGTGTGCAGTAAGCTATGGCCATATACTTCCGGTAAATATGCTCTATGTATTCATAAAGTCAAAATCATCCAATGTGCGTGTCTCAGAATATATCTCACAATCTCCATAGTTAAGCAGAGCATCACTATATTGAAGTCTAATTCAAAATGGTCATTTGAGATTTAATGTTGGACCTCCCAACCTTTTTTTGAAATAATAAACCTCCTTTAACATCAAATCATCTCTAGCCTGATTAACTACAGTAGTCTTCTAAATAGTCTTTCTCTTCTACCTTTGCCCTTATCACTCAGTATCTCTCTACCCAGCAGTCAGTTATTTTCTTTTTTTTCAAATTGGAAGTCATGGTTGTTTAACTATTTCCAATGACATCCTATCTCACTTAGAATAAAATGGGATCTCTCTGACTCATCTTCTGCCCCTGCCATTCTTGATGACTTTACTTCTAGTCAGTCTCCTTGCAGTCCCTCAATGAGCCCACTGCCACTACATGGGTTGTGGAATGTTCTTCCCCAGGCATCTGACCATTTTTCTAGCTTCCTCACTTCTTTCGGATTTCTCTGCTTGAATGTCATTGCCTAAGAAGAAGGCTTCTTTGACCTCACTAACTAAAACAGTACCTTTACTCCCCTCCCTACTCTGGAGGCTGAGGTGGGAGGATCACTTGAGCCCAGGAGTTCAAGGTCAGACAGTACAACATCAGAGACCACCCCCCCCAAAAAAAAAAAACCTATCCCTTCCACCCGACTGGTGTGACTGGGGTTTGAACTCAGGGCTTCACACTCAAAAAGCAGGGGCTCTACTGCTTTAGACACACCTCCAGTCTATTTTGCTCTGGTTATTTTGGCGGGGGGGGTCCTCACAAACTATTTGCCTGGGCTGGTATCAAACTGTGATCCTCCTGATCTCTGCCTCCTGAGTAGAACCAGAACCTGGCCCTTTCCTCTCGTTCTCTCTCTTTTTTTTAAAAAATGTTACCTACATGGCCTTAAATTCCTAAACTCAAGGGAACCTCCTGCCTCAGTCTTTCATATGTTGGGACTACAGGGAGTACCACCATACAAGGCTTTCTACTACCAGCTTTAAAAAAAAAGACTGGAAGGAAATATTCTAAACCATGTAAAACACAAACTATTATTTGGGGACAATTTTTCCCCTTTATACTTTTGTACATATTCTATTTCTATAAATAATTTTAAAATAAGGAAAAATTAACTGTTAAATGCCTTAAGAGATGTTCACATCTGGATGGTTGATAATCTGAAGATGGGGATAAAAGAATGCATTCACTTGGCTGTCTTGCAGACACCTTCTCCCGGTCCTTTTTAGGAACAAATCTATAAATGATCACCACAATCTCTGATATAGCTATTAAATCCTGATTATTCAAAAGATAAGGGGGTATAGATCCTAAGAGGTGACTATAGTATCTTGCCCCTAAGCCATACCTTTGGATTTGAATAGGAAGAGAAGCCAACAAAGAGACATTAATGGATCTACTGAATGCTAACAAAAGAGCAAAATTAAGAGATGAGTTCTGTCAAGACTCCAGAAAGTCAATTTAGTTGGGGCAGGAGGGAATGACTAAGTACAACACCAGAGCTTGGGCTCTCCATGAT